GTTAAACCAAGGAATGCCCTTAACTGTTTCGTAGATTATGGTGTGGGCCAATCAACCATAGCTTCGATTTTCTTTTTGTCTGCCTTAACTCCTTCCACAGTCACAACATGACCAAGATAAGATATTTCATTAACGCCAAACTCACACTTACTAAGTTTCACAAAAAAAGCATTTTGTAACAAACAATTCAAGGCAGTTTCGAGGTGATGAACATGATCCTCCAATGAAGAACTATAAATCAACACATCATCGAAGAAAACAACTATGAACTTCCTCAAAAATGGTCTAAAAATTCTGTTCATTAGTTGTGTGAACTTCCTGAATCAATGAGGACGTGCACTTTCTTCCCCTTCACTACTGCCAACAAGACCAAGGATTTAGCATCATGACCCGAAAGTGAATACAGAGCAGCATCCATTCTGACCCCATCATGTTTTGTCTTGCCCCAAACAATCTCCTCTTCCAGCTCCCCATCTGAATCCTCAGGTTCACCTATCAGTATCAGCATATTTGCTTTGCAACGATGTTTGGTCGTCCACCTCTCATCACATGTATAACAAATACCCATATCCTTTTTCTTCTGCAACTCTTCTGAGGAAAGTTTCTTTACTAGTAATGAGGTTGGGGCGGGTAAGGTAAGTGGTGTACTTTGTAATGGTTTATCCATCGTTCCTGTGGAATGAGAATGATAGAATGGTTTCTTCTGAAAATTTGTAACTGACAAACGTAATTCCCCATGGTGACTGTCATATGCTATTTCCAATTGCATGGCTTGATGGAGTGAAGAAGGCCCTCGCAATTGAATAGCCCCTTGAAGATCCGGTTGTAAACTAGAAATGAAAAATGTCATCAACAATTCATCACTAATATTAGATACCTGATTCATTAATTTCTGGAACTCTGCCATGTAATCCGTCAAGCACACTGTCTGCAACAATTTGGATAACACACCTCTTACATCCTTGTACTGAGATGGTCCAAATCTCTGACAAACAGCCACCTTAAAATCTTCCCATGAGTTGATGATTCCGCTCTTGAAAACCCATTGATACCAATCTGTCGCTGCCCCTTCCATACGCAGGCCAGCCAACTCCACTTTCAAATTATCTAGAACCTGATGAATCTTGAAGAATAGTGTTGTTTTGAAGATCCATGTATTTGGCTCCTTCCCTTCAAATTTAGGAATCTCAGTTTTAACAAATTTCAGAACTGCACGAGGATCATCCACATGCAACGCATGTTGATGAACACCACAAAGAGGCTGAGACGAATTTTTCGGAGAATTTGTCTCAGAATTTGCTTTCGAAGTTTGGGTCATCATCTCTCGAAAAGTATTCTCCATCGTCTGAAATCGTTTTTCCATCAACTCCAGCATCTGCTCAAATCGCCGATTGCTGTCTTCTTTATGCTGTGTCAATTCTTCAACAATTTCTTGAATCCGCATTGTGATTGCTTGAATCCACCAAATGGAAGCACCGATTGTTAAGGGACGCGTACCCTTACAAGTAAAACCTCTGAACTTTATTGATTAATTGCATGCATTACACATACCCATTGTGGGGTATTTAACCATCGAGTTAGTTAACCAACGTGGCACAACAACCTCACTCCATGTGAGCACTATTACACGTATACAATCCTTAGTAACTGCCTATATTACACGTATGTATCCCACTAACATTCACTTTACATGATCTAATGCCCACGATGGGTACCCTTTGACCCTTTTACTCTTCTCCCTAGTTACTTCATCTGTAACAACACGTCAAAGTTTTTGAAGTGTCGGTGCTTCATAGGTGTTTGGTATAGGTTTTATTTTGAGTTTGATGGGGAAGTGAGAGTGGGTATTGAGAAATACCATGTTTGATACAAGTTTGTGAAAAAAAAAATACTAGGAGATTATGAAGCATAGGAAACTCTTTTTGTGTTGATTTTTGGGTGATTGTTACTATTCCAAAATCTATTTGAAATATGATATTTTGGGATAAATAGGAAAGTGAAAAAATGGGTGAAAAGTTATGGACCAATTTGACCCTCATGCATTTAAAGTGAGCTCTCGTCCGCAGCTCTGGGCATTTTGATCCATTTATATGCAAAGAAGAAAATAAAATAATATTGATATTATCCACTGCTATGAAAATCTTGAGAGTTGGAAGAGATAAGATGTGGTCAAGGATTCACTATTTTTAAGGATGGGCACTTTAAGTTCAAACAAAGCAAAATAGCAAAATATGGTTGTTTTAATTTTGTAAGAATTAATATAAAAAAAACTAGCAGAGGGAGAAGGAGGGATAGTAGGCGACAAATTTGCATTGATTAGTACCGATAAGTAAAAGTTGATAAGATATGTTAAGATAGACTCACTTTTAATGGTTCTTTTAAAAAAATTATAATGGGGTATTTTCGTCAATTTAACCTATTTTTCCATAACCAAATATAAACTTTGCAAATTTAAATAAATTTTCTCAGTAATATTTTGGTCAACCAAATAACTTTTTTTGAATTTTTCTATCAAACTTACTTTCCTACTATATTCCCATGAATTATGATTCTCTGGTAAAAAAAAATATCTCCTCTACCAAACGCCCCATACATTTTTAACAAATATTGACTGAGTAATCCCACCTCAAAGTAAAACTTCTCACATGAGAGGACTTTGTGCCTGTTTAGATTCTTCTTCTTTTTTAAGTTAGAAGTTGCTTATAAACATAAATTAGGCAAAATAAGTTTTAAGAAAAGTGCTTATAATGAAAAACTCTTTTTTTATAATGAAGAAAAAAACTAAAAGCTAAAACTTCTAGAAGGGTCTTTCTTTAAGCTCTTATCTGTTTTTCTTGAATTATGTGCTTTTTTGAAAAATGAAGAGTTATAAAGATATAGAGAGATAATTGTATTGAAATACGAGCTTTTAAGTAACTTTTAAGCTAAAAAATTTATGTAATTACCAAACAGTTTTTAAACTTTTTTTTTAGCTTTAACTTATAAGTCGCTTCTAGTTTAAAAAAGAGATTATCCAGACTCTTAATTTGATACCGGATATTTACTCGACTTAACGAAGTAATTATCTCATTTACTCAAGCAAATAGTCCATCTAATATTCTAAAGGAAACCCATTCTTTGGCAATTTTGCTGACGTGTCGCTTTCTCCTTCACTTTTAGCTTTGTGTTCACACTTCAAAATATTTGAAACATTTCCTTCTTTGGTAAAAAAGAATAAAAAGAAAAATATATTAAATAAAATATTGATAGTTAAAGGTTGCAAACTAGGCTTGGCCCGAGGGGCCTGCCAACAAGTTTTTATAATTAAATTAAAATTCCACTATTCTTCTTTTATAATTATATTTCTAAATCTGATTTCAATTTTTGTAAATACAAATTTGTAAAATTTTAAATACTAACTAAACAAATTCTTGCAAAAAAATTATTATTTCTTATTATTTTATAAATCTAATTGTAATAAATGAAAGTTCATCTCTGAGATAAAATATAAAAACCTAGACGCAACTATAAGAGCTTTTTTGTGGATAAATATAAAAATCTATTAGAGTGGAAAATTGGGCTCAGCCCGGAGGGCCGGCCCACCAACATATTTGTATAATTAAATTGAAATTTTATCCTTCTTTTTTTATAATTAAATTCATAAATCTTATTTTAATTTTTGTAAATACAAATTTGTAAAATTACAAATAGGAACGACATAAATCCTTGCAAAATGTTTTTTTAATCGATGTTATTATTACACTTACAATCAACAAAATTAATCATAATATCGAATTATGGAGTAATATCAGCCAATTCTTTGGAAAGTAAAACAAATGAATTGAATATATATACTTAAAACCAAAGTAAAATTATATAGTTATATATACCTCCACCATAGTACCGTTCAGAGCTTCATAGCAAGATGAAGGTGTTGATTTACCTGTGCGATGATTAACCAATGACGGCGACAATGATTTTGTTATTTTTTCCCCGGGCATCGCACGAGTAATTCACTAGTTTAAATATAAGGCAGACGACATTAACTTATAAGAAAAAGAAAAAAAATCAATAATCATATTATTGATAATATGAAAAAATATCAAATAATTCATCAATCCACTTAATTATTTTTTCAAATAAAAAAATAAATTATCATATCATTATAATCGATAATAAATTTAAAATATTTGAATTTATAGGAATTTAAAAAATATCATGTATAAAATATAATTATTATTATTTTATTTCCTTATTTATCAACAAATAAATAAAGTGAAATGACTTTTTGATGAAAAAGAAAAAACAAATCAATAATTAAATCATCATTATTAATAATAAAATTGATATTTTTATAATTATAGGAATTTCAAAATATCATCATATAAATAAAAATCACATTTAGAATTTCAGCAAATAAAAAATAATATGATTTTCCAATTTTTTTCTTTCCTTACTTGCTTAAAAAATTCGAATGGGTTTCATTTTTTGGATAAATAGAAAAAAAAAATCAATAGTTAAATAAATATTATGAATACTGAATTTATGTTTTTAAATTTTTAAGGACTTACATATAGCGCCAGCGCCAGACAATTGAAAATTATTTATAGTTTTAAGTATTAGTTGACTTAATGTATTTAATAATAATTTTTAATTTAATGTAATTTGGTCAGTTTAATTAATTTATTGCCCTTTGATGTCAACTTTGCTCAAATAAAAATAAATTAGTATATAATTTGAAAAGTGTAGTAAATTAATAATTTTTTTTAAAAGAAATAGAAACTAGATCAATGAGCCTCGAGTTAAATATAAACTTGAATGAATAAACTTCAAGAATACTCTAAAAAAAATAAAATCATAATAATATGACGTTACCAGGATCATCTTACTTTCCTGTAGATAAACTAAGTCCAACCTCCTAACTGTATAACTTTGACGAGCCATAGAACATAAATCGCCGCATTGACTGTAAACTATTAATACGAATGGCGCGAATCAAATCCCAAATATCCCGCGACGTGAGTGTATTCCACGCTCTCTCTCAGTCGTCGTTTCGTTAGCGCTCTCTCTCTCTCTCTCTCTAGAGTCTCTCTCCTCCTTCTTCACCTTTTCTCACAACTCCGATCACATTGAATTGAATTCAACAATGGAAGAATCAACAGATGCAGATCCCATTAGTGTTTCCCTTCACATCCTCACTTCCCTCCTCGACGACGAAATCACCAGGGTCCACAACTTCAAAGGCAAGTGGGCCCTCGCCCGAGTCAAACTCACTCACCTCCAAGCCCAACTCACCGATTTCTCCGCCGAGTTCCCCAACGCCTCAACCTCCAACCCTCTCTCACTCGACCTCCTCCATTCCATCTTTCACACACTCAACGACGCCGTTTCACTCTCCAAACAGTGTCACTCCACAGACTTACCCCATGGGAAGCTCCACACCCAGAGCCACCTCGACTCCCTCCTCGCCAACCTCGACCGCCACGTCACCGATTGCGACATCCTCTTCCGCAGCGGCCTTCTCCACCAAAACGCCGTCGTTTCCAACTCTTCAAAGCGAGAGGCCGTTAGATCCGAATCCAGGAACCTCATCACCCGTTTGCAAATCGGGTCGCCGGATTCCAGAACCTCCGCGATGGACTCGCTGTTGAGTTTGCTCAACGAGGACGATAAGAACGTCACGATAGCTGTAGCGCAGGGCGTGGTTCCTGTCCTCGTTCGCCTCCTTGATTCTTCATCGGAGATGAAGGAGAAAACCGTTGCCGCTATTTCAAGAGTTTCGACGGTGGAAAGCGGCAAGAACGTTCTAATCGCGGAGGGTTTGTTGCTTCTGAATCACTTGCTTCGTGTTCTGGACTCCGGGAGTGGGTTCTCTATAGAGAAGGCATGCGTTGCGCTTCAAGCCCTGAGTTTCACGAAGGACAACGCGAGGGCTATTGGTTCAAGAGGTGGAATCTCGTCGCTGTTGGAGATTTGCCAGGCTGGCACGCCCGGTTCCCAAGCGTACGCGGCGGCGGTTTTGAGGAATCTCGCCGCGTTCCCCGAAACAAGAGAGAATTTCGTGGACGAGAATGCCCTTGTTGTTCTGTTAGGGTTGGGTTCTTCCGGAACCGCTTTGGCTAAGGAAAACGCGATTGGCTGTTTGTGTAATTTGATTTCAGAGGAAGAAACTTTGAGGGTTTTGGTGGTTAAGGAAGGTGGTGTTCAGTGTTTGAAGAATTTCTGGGACTCGGCTCCACTGGTTCCCAGTCTTGAAGTTGCGGTTGAAATGTTGAGGCACTTGGCTTCAAGTGCACCCATTGCTGAGGTTCTTGTTAATGATGGGTTTGTTGTTAGATTAACGGGTGTGTTAAATTGTGATGTGCTTGCGGTGAGAATTGCAGCGGCTAGAGCTGTTTATGCATTGGGTTTGAGCAGTGGAAAAACGAGGAAACAGATTGGGGAATGTGGGTGCATTCCCCCTCTGATTAAGATGCTTGATGGGAAGGGTGTGGAAGAGAAAGAAGCTGCAGCGAAGGCCTTGTCGGTGGTCTTGTTGCACACCGGGAATAGAAGGGTTTTCCGTAAGGATGATAGAGGGATAGTGAGTGCAGTTCAATTGTTGAACCCTTCGTTTCACAATTTGGATAAGAAATACCCTGTTTCGTTGTTGACCTCGCTCGTTCATTCCAAGAGTTGTAGGAAGCAAATGGTGGCTGCTGGTGCTCGTGTACATACGCAGAAGCTCGTTGAGATGGATGTCGAGGGGTCCAAGAAACTCTTGGAGAATCTTGGTCCTGGTAAGATATGGGGAGTTTTTACCAGACCCTAGAGATGAACTGGAACATAGTGTTCTCTTCAATTTCCTAAATCATGGTACAAGAACAACCGGTAATTATGATTATTCGTTGATCATGTATGTATGGTAGGCTTTTTTCAGGTTTTCTATTTTCCTCTTTCTTGTAATTGTGTTAATAAGTGATGTTTATTTTCTCTTGGATGTAGAGGCAAGTCTGTTCAAATGAATTTATCAGAGAACTTTTGTTTAATGTTAGTGGTAGAGTATACGACCTGTCACATAGCTTAGTTGGGTTGCGAGTTGCATTGATGAAGATAGGATAGTTCATAGTTGATTGTTAAAATGCTTTGCATGTAATTAATGTAGTGCTTTTACTTGAATGCGATTGAGTATGTTTATATTGGAATGCAATTTTCAAGTTAGGTTCCTAGGAGAAGATAATATCTTGAGTTTGATCATAGGATTGATTCTTTAATACTCAGTAGGGAGTAGCTAGGACTTGTGTTTGCATATTAATGCTTTCCTGAGCAACACCAATTCGAATAAAGGGAGACCCGTTCTCCAACACCCTGATTTCAAATCAGATGAGTTGAAGAAACTTGCCTAATTTGCCTTCCACAAATCATAAATTCTCTCACACTGGCGGGTTACATGTTCATGGAAATCCCAGGACCCAGATCACCATAAATAGGGTGCGCTGAACCATGTGTGACAGATCCTTATAAATTTCGCATTGGCTATCACATACACAGAAGTTGCTTTCTTGGTGACTTCTTTTTATCATGGTTTTCCTTTGCATTAATGTCTTCATAATACCTGTCCTTAAACTGATTTCATGAGTAACATTTCTTTGCATTTGCCTTATTAGTATTGGATTAGGTTACTACGAGGGTGTGATACTGTGGGAATTTCCTCAATGTCTTATTGCGGATGTTGACATAATTGTTCTGCGAGTGCCATGTGCATTTGTTCTCGACCATGTGCTTATGGTCTATGCATTGCTCAAATTGCAGTCTTCTTGTCGGTTGCCTTAACAAATTAGGACCTACATTGATCCCTTTCTCGGCTCGAAACTCTTGGGCTTGTCGCAATCTTTAAATTATTATCTATTGGAAATTTCCATTGCTGCGTTGTCATTATCCCAACATATCGAAATTGGTACAAGATACGAGTGTATGATGACAGCTATATGTGGCGAATCTTCAAACTCCGTGGACAGTTTCTTTAGATGAAGTCCTCTCCAGCTGAAAATGTACAGTTCCCTAGAATTCCAGTTTTCATATGTGCCAACTGTATGTCACAAATGAAATAAGAAAGCCTTGATCTTTGTATCGAATACACAATCGAAGTTGCTTTGCTTATGCTGGTGATTCATTCATAATTTCATATAACAAAGGTTAAGTGGTATTCAGATGCATTCAACTTGAAGAAGGAAGAAAATATAAATAATGAGGAAAGATCATAGGTAAGCAGAGAGATAAATTCACTGCAAGTAGCCAAGAAAGTTGGAAAAATCAAAATATAGAACTGTTTGATTGTGTTTTGATATTTTTTTTTTTTAACTATTTTGTAGAATAATTAATGAAATAAGTTTTTTTATATTTTTTAAAGTTAAAGTCAAAACTCAAAACTCAAAACAAAAATAATTCAGATATGTTTTTTAAATTTGATTCTAAAAATTTAAAAATAGTTATAATTTTTAAAATTATTTTTACAAAACATGTCATGTTAAACAAGTTTTTCTTCTTCTGAAAAACAAGCCCATAGACTCGCAACAATATAGTTCAGACTTTAGTCATAAGTTCCCTTTACAGGTATAAGCAATAGAGATCACGAGATCACGTAAAGGTGGATGAAACTTTACAGGCTTCAAAAACAAGTAAAATCATGTGGGATGCAAATGATTGCCCTCTTATTTGACCTCCTTTGAAATAGACATGTCTCCAAGCTAAGTTTGGTAAGCTCACATGATTTCAATTGTAATACTACATGGAGAGTTTTTTCCGTGAATCAGATGTACCAACATCCTTAAAAAAAAAAAAAAAAAGTGAGAATTTAAAGGGAAAAGCAAAAATCACTTTCGATTCAAATGTTATTAGATTTTCCTTATTTGGCAAAGAGGAGCACTGACTTGGTGGAGGAAGAAGAAAAGTGTATATTGCTATACAGCAAAATCAGAGAATATGAAAGGAGAGGAACTAAGAGGTTGAATTCAGATGAAGAGAAAAAGGAAAGGCAAAGGAGGAGGGAAACTCAAAAATCAAGAAAAGAGAAAGATTTTCTCTCCCTTTTCCATTCTAATTATGTAGCTATTTTTTGATATGATAATAATTACCAACCCTATATGAGTATAAACTTATATAGGTATAAAAATAAAAAAATTTATAGTTAATATTAACTGTTGATTTCACTTACATTTAACCGTTTTATTTTATTAATCACATGAATTATCATATGCTAGTGAGACCAATATATATATATATATATATATATATATATATATATATATATATATGGGGCAAGATATTCTTACACCGGTGTAAGAGTTACAAGTCTTACACTCAATCTTGACCATTGATCCACTTATATCCAATGGCTCACGTTACTAAAAAATTTGAGCCTTAGATATAAGTGAGATCAGTGGACAAGATTGAGAGTGTAACTTACACTGGTGTAAAATGATCCTAACCCTATATATATATATATATATATATATATATATATATATATATATATATATATGAGTCTTAAATCTAATTTTAGTCATTGGTTCATTTGTATCAAACGACTTTTTGAGGGATCCAAGTGTGAATGAATGAAAAAGTCTAACATTGGTTAAGAATGGATTAAGTGAGCACCATATGAGTGGAATGACATATATACCTAATGCCTTAAGGTTTTGGGTTTGATTGTGGTGTTCTAAGCCCACTTAATGTCGCTTTTCACTTAGCCCATGATTGGCGGTTTCTCCCCGCCATGAGCTCCCCCTGCACGGCCCAACACGACTTACATATTTAAGTAAACTCATAGATATCAAATTCTTTTCGAGTAAAGGTACTACTCTAACATATTTCAGAGTTAGTATTTTACCTGAAAAAAGCATCAATTTTGTAGTTCCAACATGAGTCACATTTGCTTCACCACCATTGCAATTTTTCACCAGGTCTTTCACTTTCGTAACCTCAGTGAGTAAATTCTTATTGTTTGTAGCATGGCAAGTAGCATCGCTATCCAACCACCACTTAGAAGAGACGTTGGCATTTCCATTCTTCATTATTCCAATGAAAGCTTGAGGCTCAGGTTCATTAGGTAACAATGTAACATATTAGCCTCGTTTTGTGGTGTGTTATTCTTTGACTTATTTGGCAGCTTACATTCTGCTTCCCAGTGACCCCACTTTCCACAATTATGACAATTTCCCTTCTTCTTCTCGAGGATAGTCTTTTTGGCATCTAACTGTGAAGAAAGTTCACTTTTTGGTGACTTGGACTTTTTTTAGATTTATTGAAATGTGAAACTAAGTTGGCAACTGACTTTTATTGTCTTACTTGTTCCAAACTCTTCCTAGAATAGTTTTGATCCTCAATATGAATAAACCTCTTTAATTCATCTAGTTCAATCTGTTCTTTCAGTCTATGTATTTTAGTCTTGAAAGAACTTCATTCAGCAGGTAACTTACTCAAAACAAGAACGGTAAAAGATTATCAGACATATCAGACTTATCATCTTTTAGCTTGTTCCTTATGTTCTCTAATTCAATTAATTGAGAGGTGATACTTGAATCTATATTAAATTTAAATTCAAAAAACTTCTTTGTTAGGAGAGTTTTGGAGAGCTTCTCTTGTTTTTGGAACTGAGCATTCAAGTGATATGATATCTCTTTCGCCGTCTTATACTGACTATAAGTCATAGCTAGATGAGGATTTAAAGAATCTAACAAGTAATCCCTACAAAAATCTTCGTCTTTGTTCGATTAATATTCATCCACATCTTCAATTGTAGATGCAAAATCACTTAATACATTATAAAATATTTCACATTCTTTCATACTGAATTGAACATGTAATTTTCAACCATGAAACTCAGTAACATCAAATGATTGCATTTTTATAATATCATAGGAACTATGTTTAGCAATTTTAAATAAGAGCTAAGAGTTAGAAAGAGTGCACCTTGCAGCCCACGGACTTCAAAGACTCTAATTTTTATCAAACCGCTCTGTAGAGCTGGAATTTGCTAAATCAGATTCAGAGTGCTCAAAAATCTTAAGATGGACTACTTTGTTGTCAGAAACTCACCAGAATATTTCCCTGTTATAAAAATTGCAGAAAATGTACCTGGTAACTTTAGATCGCCATATCTCCTTCGTTTGATCTCCGTTTAAGGTGAGTGAGTACTCAAAATGATCGTCTCGACGAGTAGAACAAAGCCTAGTATTTCTTGAAACTAGCTGAAATTTGTGGGATCTGGACCGAAAGGTTACGACTGCAATATCTTCAAATTCAGATATTGCAAAATCCTTATGTCAAATCGTGAAAATGATTTAAAATACGAGTTCCTCTCGATTAGATCTTCGAATAGACACCTTACTCGCTCAAATCCGACGCACGAAGCTAATATTTCAAGGTTGTTGGAGGTTATGGATTTAAGAAATAATGGTTTAGAGGTGCTTGAAGTATTATACCAAAAGATATTAGAGTTTGGAATACTCAACAATATTATCTTCAGCTTAGGAAATCCTAAGATAATGTGAACTATTGGGCTCTAGCTCATATGGGCCCAAATAATCATGCTAAAACCTGTTGGGCTTGTATGTGAAAATAATATTGGATTATATTATTAATATATCTAACAAAAGGTCTGGGCAAACTGAGGGAGAGTCCCTAAATTTTAATTTTTTAATTATTTTATGTATAAAATAATATTTTTTAATAATAATAGGCTATTAGTACTAATAGTTAGCCCTTCTCTCAAAAATATTTATAATAGTTAGTATGTTCTATTAGTCTTAATCATACTTATAATTTTTAAATTTTACTTTCACCCCCTATTATTAAAAATCTTGGGTCTGCCCAGCGAAAGATTAATATAATTAATTTTTAAAATCTGATTTCATAAGTTCAGGGAGTCATTTTTGTGTTTTTAAACATAAGGAGGTTTTGTAAAATGAACCTGTTCTGCCTTGGGCAGAGGTGTCCGACCGTAGGTCGGTTGTTTAATATTGGATCTGTAGCTTTCTCTCTAGATACCTATGGATTAGGTATCTTGGGGACAGCAAATCATTACACACTGTACGATGGCCTTAGCCTGAAGGGGTGTGTGTGTGCACTGTCGTGTTTGAATAAACTAGGGTTTTTGAGATCAGTCATACCTGTGGTCTTTAGCCCTTATTTATAGAGCTTACCTTTGGGCTTGTGTAGGTTGGGCTTGTTGTCATCGTGGGCCTTTCCCTGGTCCATAACAGTTTCCCCCCAGCCCGGTAGACTGAGCCTTCAGTTTTCCGGGATGTCCAAGTCAAGTCGATTGTTGTGCTTTTGACTCGGATGTTGGTCACTTGGCCGTTTTGTTATTTCGGCTTTCCCACTTGGCTTCAAGAGGGAAAGCTTTCCCCAGTCTTACAAGCATATTTTCATCCGGGGTGTTCTACGGAAGTTGTCATCCGGGTTACTTTGCCGGAATTTAGGGCATACGACCCTCTGAGACTAGAAACTCGGTTACTCATGTCGGCAACACAGAGAATGACTGTATTTAACTGCTTTCTGATGATTGCTTTGAAGTGAGAAACAGTTTCTCTTCCCTCTAATGATTACCTTTCCACGTACTCCTTTCCAATAGGCTCAACGTGTGGCTTCGTGCGTTTCTTGCCACCTTAGCATTTAATGCCTATGCAAAAACGTCTCTCAACTGTCTTGTATACCCTGTAATTACCGCAATGCCCCTGCCCTTTGGCTTTCGCGGGCTTAACCTTTCAATTTTTGTCCCCATATTATCACCCTCAGTTTTCACTTCAGACCATTTGTCTCACCAATCGTTCGTTTGCCTTCGTTACTATCTCGAATCGCTTGGCAATACCCAACATTTTCCTTCAACATTCACCATCTCCTGTGTTTGTCAATCTCCGGCTTCTTCAACACCTCTCTCCACATGTATTTTCCTACAACATGCCTTCCCTTTCTGACGTATTCTCCATTAATTTCTCAGTTTGTCCATGGCTTTTGGTTTTGCAATGCTTTTCTTTATTCCAGACCCACTTACCTGCTTGTCCCTTTGCATTTGTCTATCTGTATGTGCGACGCATCATATTGTTTTTGCTTGATTATGCCTTCTGTACCATGTGGTCGTGGGTTCGTTTTCCACAGACGGCGCCAATGTTCTGCCTTGGGCAGAGGTGTTCGACCGTAGGTCGGTTGTTTAATATTGGATCTGTAGCTTTATCTCTAGATACCTATGGATTAGGTATCTTGGGGACAACAAATCACTACACACTGTACGATGGCCTTAGCCTGAAGGGGTGTGTGTGCACTATCGTGTTTGAATAAACTAGGGTTTTTGAGATCAGTCATACCTGTGGTCTTTAGCCCTTATTTATAGAGCTTACCTTTGGGCTTGTATAGGTTGGGCTTCTTGTCATGGTGGGCCTTTCCCACCCAAAATTTGGGACTGCATTGCCTTTTAGCCAAAAGAATACTATTCTTAAGGATGACTATATATATGACTTTTTTTTCAAACAATAAGATATTTCTGCACTTTTTATTTTTGACTAATCTCGAGTAAAGCTTTGGCTTGACTTTAGATATAACCACAAAAAGCTTAAAAAAATAAATGTAGGAAAGGCTCACGAGATTAATAACTAATTTGACAAAAACACACCTAAGTTTAAACTTAGTAGTATTTAAATCCAATTCGTAAAAGGAAATAAAAGATTTGGTTTGAATAAAAGTTTCATAATTTTTAGTTAAAATTAATTTCAAATTTTGGTAAATTAAACATTAGCTTCCATATTTTTTTGACCCTATTTAGTTAACATCCCTCAAATATTTTTCGTTTTATCTCACCACTTAATCCTTTCAGCTTTCGTTTAAATTAAAAAAAAAAATTGACTTTTCAATTAATTTTAACAACAATAACTGTTTATTTTACACAATATCTCATTGTGACTAACTCTTTCTTAATTTTTTTATTTAATTTTTTTTATCACCAAACCTCTTAAAGAAAAATAAATTTTAAGTGATAAATTGAAAAAGTGTTAAACTGTAATTAACGTTATTTTAATTATTATTTTTTTACATTTTTTAACTTAAACAAAAGTTGAAAAGATTAAGTGATAAAAAAATGGAGAGAACTGAGAAGTTAATTCAAAAAATAATGTTACAACATATACATTTGCATTTTTTTTATCATCTGCTTATAATTGGTCGCTGGTTATTGTTATTTATTTACGAAAAAAGTGTTTATCTTTTTAAATGACACACTTATATCATTTTACTCTCATAAAGAGTGAGACCCACACCTTTATATTCTTTTTTGTCCATTCTCTCTTTCTTCTTTTATCTATCTCTTTCTCTCACTTAAATTGACACAATTTTATATCTTTTAAAATGATACTCATTTTTCCTTTTATTTATTTATTTTTTTCAACTCACATTCCAATTTTATCACCTGCGACACAAGCAAGTGAGCAACGATGCAATGATCATTACTTTATGGATTTTGATTTTCTTATACATGAGAGAGTTGTTTTCTCCTTATTCTAATTGGGCAACTAAGTAATTTAAAAGTTAAAACCAAAGGACTATTCAGAGTCTTGCTAACTAAGTGCTAACCCCGAACAAACATGACAAAGAACAAAACGTCGTTGTTTTAGTCATGAGATTAGTGCCAAAAACAAAAGAGCACTGCGAAGGGACCAGAGTTGAACGACGATGTCGTTAGGTCAGAGGCATGTAACGTTGTAGCCTATAAGCTGACATAAAATCAAAACAAAAAACGACAAAGGCCATCTTCGTGCTCTATCCCCCGTCTCTCTCAGTCTCAATATTTGATGCACACCATTCTCCGATTCGACTCGCCTTTCCCACTCCATTACCCGTAAGTTCTCTCTCTCTCTCTCTCTCTCTCTCTCTCTCTATTTAATTTTTTCCCTCAAATTTGTGAAGCCTTATAAGCTTTCTATGTCTAGGTTTTTTCACCCCTTTTATGTTTGGGTGTGTTGAAGACCCTAACTATACTGCAACATTTTTCTCATTATGCTTGTTTTGTCGCTCTAGTTACTTGTTTGCATTTCCAATGTCATATTTGTTCCAAATCCAAATAGGGGAACTTGGAAACTCACTGTTAGATTGCTGCCACAGTTTCTAGAAATGTTGGCTTGCATGGGTTGTTTTAGCTTGTTCAGGAGTTCTTGCATTGCTATATTGAATAACTAGGCATTCTTTTTTCATGTGCTTATGGTTGGAGTGGTGTGTAATTGTTGCACTGTTCAGCTGGAAGAAGACTTTGGAGATTGAATTCTCTGGATAGAGATTTATGTCTCTGATAGTCTCCCACTGTATTGAAAACAATACAAAACAAGTTAAGGTTTGGGATCCAAAATAAAATTCCGTTTACTTTTATTTTTTCTGTTGCTGTATTCAACAACTTGTATGTTTATGTGTGGAATCTCCGCTCAATTTGTGAACGTTTTTATAAACCAACAAACAGGGTTTCAGTGCCTTTCTTTTCGTTGGTCACAATGATGTAATATTTCATTTTTTCATGGTACAAACTACAGAGCTGAAGTATAGATAAGAGTTTGCTATGATCTTCATCAACATACTCTTTGATTAGAGAGTTTGTATTGTCTGTTTTTTTTTTGGAATTTAAAAATAAGATATGAATAAGTGGGAATATACACCTTTGTTAGGAGTAGTTTTTGATACTGCTTTGGCTGAGAATTTCTCAGTGGAAGGGGGCGTGGCCCTTGTGAAGAGCTTGTCTCTTGTACTTTTGTTTTTGTATCAATAAAACTGCCTTAGCTTCTGCCTTCTGTTATAACTTTCCAAGTGCTTGTTCTCTTGTATTTCTGTTCGTAACACATTTGATATCATGGGATATCATTGACATAGGTTTTGGTTGATGAATATTGTTTATTAGTTTTCTTTTTCTTGTATTTCAATGTATTAGCTGCAATGTAGTCAATTCACTAATATTTTTTTGCTTGTTTCTTTTTCTTTGCAAGTTATAAATAAAGTGTTTATTAGCACTGCTGGAGCATCTTCTTTGCCATATTGTGTTTCGAATTATATACTTTACTTTCTTTTGGCCTGATGCACCTTTACCCAGTTCTTAGGAAAAGTCTGTTGTTGGTCTGCCAGTTGGTGCAGCTTTTGCACTCTGCTGATGCACAGGTGTGGTGATGTCTCCACGGTACTGGTATTGGAGATGCCTCCAATACTGAGTAGCATACTGTATAGCAACTCTGGTACTGTTTGGTGGTTTGATTAGGTTTTTTTATTCTTTTTTAAAAATAAAAATAAAAATAGAAATGGGTTCACACAGTGCAAAAATTGTTTTGTAATCTAAGAAACTAATTTCAAAATGCAGGGAAACCTAGATAACTTGTTCAAAACATGTTGGAATGCTAAAAATACCTCCAAACTATACTGGAATTTGTGTAAAACCCACCAAAATACTTGAATTTATTACTTAGCTGTACAAGTTTAGCTAACTAACTAACTAACTACCCCATCACTTAACTCCTTTTATTCCTACACCTTCTAAGTCCCAACCTCACTTGGTTGGGTCCTAACAACACCTCCCTCCTGAAGTTGAATCTTTCCCTCAAGGTTGAAGTCTGGTAAATAAGATCTGATGAGCTGCCCATTCTTCCTAAGTAGCCTCCTCAATAGTTTGGGAGACCCATTTAATCAGAACCTGCTCCATTGGATCCTTGTGCTGAACAACTGAACGAGTTCCCAAGACACTCGGGCTGATACAAGGGTGGCTCCACTTCCAAATCAGCAGGAAGGACAGAAAACTGGATGATTCCCTCCAGCTTTCTTCAATTGAGAGACATGGAAGATGGGACGAATGCAAGAATTCTCAGGCAATTGGAGCTAAAAAACGAGTGCCTCAATCTGTTTAAGGACCAAATTAAGTCCCATAAAAGCTTGCAGATATCTTGGGATGCAATCTAGAAGGCATGGAACTTTTCCTATGGGTAGTGGAGGAACGTTGGTGTTTATTAGCAAATCAAATCATGTGCTGCCGGGCTCTAGATAAGTGAAACTTCAGTTGTTTGTGTGCTTCATCTTGATCCTGCAGATCTTGAGTTATTTTCTCACCAATTTTTCTCTTAGAATGAAATTAGAAAGTGAAGGAGGGGGTCGTCTATAAACAATTTCAAAAGGAGAGCTTTGAGAGTGATGTGAAAAGAAGTACTATACCAATACTCAGCCCAAAAAAGGAACACCAGCCAAGCCTTAGGCTGTTAAGAGATAAAGTACCGCAAGTAAGTCTCAAGGATATGATTGAGCACCTTTGTCTGGCCATCAGATTCTGGATGGTATGCAGTACTAATGCCTAAGGCAGTCCCTGTCAGCCTAAATCCTCTGTCCAGAAGGAGCTCATGTAAGTGGGATATTAGTCACTAACGATGGAGGTAGGCATGCCATGCAACCTAACAATCTCGTTAACAAAGACTTCTGCAATAGCACAAGCAAAAACGGGATGCTTGACTGAAATAAAGTGGCCATATTTGCTTAAATGATCTATGACTACCAGGATAGTATCCTTAGGAAGACCAACAACAAAATCCAAGCTAAGATCTTCCCAAATAGCATTGGGAATAGGTAAACGTTGCAAGAGCCCTGCTGGGAGAGTGGGTTGATACTTACTACACTGGCAAATGTAGCATTCAGCTACAAAAGAAGAAACTTCCCCCTTCATTCCTATCCAATATAAATTTTGAGCCAGGTGCCGATAGGCACATAAATCCCAGAAGACCCCCTTCCCACTAGGAGAGGTATGAAATTCCTGCAACAATTTGGGTATCCATGTTGAGATGACTGACAAAAACCAAATGCCCCTTATAATATAGCCGATCATGCTCCAGGGTGTAGTAGGTATGGGAATCAGGATCCTACTGTAAGTCATTGAGTATCTTGGACTACACGGGATCAGCCCTCACCTCCTCATCAAGCAAATGAACATCCTTACAAAATGGCCTTAAAATTGCCTGCAGCTCCTTATCCTCATCTGTTCTAAAGAGTGCATCTGCCACCTGATTATTGCAGCCAGCCTTGTAAATGATGTCAAATTCATACCCCGAAGTTTAGCCAACCAATTCAGCTGAGTCTGTGTGGTAATATGCTGTCCCAGCAAATAGTGGAGGCTCTTGGTTTTTATGCAGTAACTTTGCGCCCAAGGAAGTAGCGGCACCAGTTCTGTATAGACAAGACCAAAATCATCAACTCCTTCACGTGTTCGGACTTGGATAGCGAGGAATCAGAAAGAGCTTTCCTGAAAAAATTTATTGATCTCTTATTCTGGAATAAGACAGCACCAAAACCTTTACCCAAAGCATCAGATTCTGTTGCTGCAGCTGATATAAAGCTTGTTCTGCAGCTGGGTTTAAGAGAAATTACCCTTTTTCAATAAATCAGTTAGCGGTCTAGCCACCTTGCCATAGTCACGTACAAATCACCTATCGCACCCAGGTATGCCCAAAGTACACTTCTTTCTTTTCGCAAAAAAACAGATGATGCTGAAAGGTAGCGAACACTTGTTCAAGACAAGACAAATAGTCATCCCATGTTCTGCTGTAAATGAGGATGTCATAAAAAACTCCCTGTAAAAACTTACGTAGAAAAGGCTGTAAGGTAGAGTTCATGGTGCATTGGAATATGGCAGGGGCATTGGTGAGGCCAAAAGTCATTACCAGAATTTGAAAATTCCCTTGATATGTCCTGAAAGCTGAATTGGGAATATCACCTTCATTCATCCGAATCTGTAAATCAATCTTTGAGAAGTAGGCAACCCCATATAGTTCATTCAGTAGCTCCTCTTTGACAGGTATGGTGAATTTATCTCATACTGAAGCCTTATTCGAGGCATGGTAGTCAACACAAAAGCGTGAACTTCTGTCGTTAACTAAAATTACCTAACTGGAAAAAGGACTGGTACTAGGGTGAATAATGCGTGTAACGGGCACACATCAATGGGATCTGTACCTGCTTTAAGAAGGATTTTATGATCACTATCACAGGGTGGGGGAAGTCCCTTTGGAACAGAAAAAATCCTTGGAATTTGGTCCAATACGTGTTGTAGCTGAGACTGCTATATGATGGTAATGGACCGGCTCTGCTATTGATTGGGGAGCTTCCCACTCTGATAGGCGTTATACTTTTAGGGTACAATGTGTTCAGTGGAGGTAACCTGATTTCATGGAAAATAAGAAATAAGGTATGGTTGGGCGATCTGTAGAGTTATGGCTGCTGCAATGTGTAAGCATGTCTGGTTAAAAAAGTTGTTCAAAGAACTTCAGTTTGGAGATGTTGGACAGATGATCCTTATGTGTGATAACTAGGCTGCCCTACATATTGCCTCGAACCCTGTCTTTCATGAAAGAACCAAACGTATTGATTATCTAATTGTGTAAAACATTTTCAGTTGTCTGTTGGGATCTCAATCTAACACACTTGTCTTTGAGTGGAATGAATCCATAAAGGAAGGGACTTTTGTCAAATCAATGGTGGTTTCCTCATTTATGTGGAAATGAGGAAAGAACCAAACGTATTGATTATGTAATTGTGTAAAACATTTTCAGTTGTCTGTTGGGATCTCAATCTAACACACTTGTCTTTGAGTGGAATGAATCCATAAAGGAAGGGACTTTTGTCAAATCAATGGTGGTTTCCTCATTTCTGCTTACATTTGGATTACATATGATGAAATTAAAATTACACTTATAGCCATATAATATTTGCTAGATCACCTTTGATAGATTATGTTAGAGTGATGTTTGTGGTTATTTCATGCTGGTTTCAGACAAGGATTTGATTTGTTAGTTGTACAAGTAAGCTACAAGGTTGCACTCGTTTATACTCCCAAAAAATCTTCTCACTGGATATGTTGACATTTTTTCTGTATGCGCTTGTTTTCATTGACTTAATGCAAGCTGTTGACATTCTCATTTGTTAACATAATATGTTTTCAGCTGGAAATTAGTGACTATTTAAATCTTCAGACTGCATTGCTCGACACCGACTTCTGCATCTGTTGTTAAATCCTCTGGATGCAAAATGGATGATGCCCGCCAACATGAAAACGTTAGGCATGCCATGGACTACTACAGAGGAGCACATTCCCCGGTAAATAGAATGCATATATGATATATCTACTATGCTTTGTTTTTAGGTTGCATTACTGGATTTAATTGATTGGATTGGATTTGAAATGTGCAGTGGAGTATGGCTCCCCAACATCAAGTAAAGGAACCAAATGCACTAGTTTTGAATAAGAAAATTAGGTCCATTATGGCTGAAAGGCGCATTCTAGAACTAGAAGCTGCTATATCTGAAAAGAATGAAGCCTTGGCTGCTCGAGATGAGGCCCTTCGTCAGAGGGATGAAGCACTTGCTCAGAGGGATACTGCCCTACTGGAACGTGACAATGCCCTTGCTGCCCTTCAAAATTGGGACAATGCTGTCAACTTCTCATTAGGCAGTGGAATTCAACGTGGATCAAAGCGGATGCACCAGTCCACTGACTATCTAGGAAATATGACAGAATCATACAGTACAAAAGATGTGCCAATAACTGATGCCTTCCCAGTGACTGTTGTTACTTCTGAAGCTGTCAAATCTCATCTGGCTAAGAAAACAAAAGAGAACATGACAATCACTTCTAAGGCGTCAAAGCCACCTAGCAAAGGAAAGAAAATGAGTGAGGATTTAAACAGGCAAGCTTCTTCTGAAGGGACGAAGATCAAATCAGAATGGGACAGACAGGACGTTGGCTTGAATTTACTTACCTTTGATGAAACTACAATGCCTGTCCCAGTTTGTACATGCACTGGAGTAGCACGTCAGTGCTACAAATGGGGGAATGGTGGATGGCAGTCATCTTGTTGTACCACCACCTTGTCAATGTATCCACTGCCCCAGCTTCCAAACAAGCGTCATGCCCGAATTGGAGGGCGAAAGATGAGTGGAAGTGTCTTTACAAGACTGCTTAGTAGGGTGGCAGCAGAAGGCCATGATTTATCTATACCATTGGATCTCAAGAATTACTGGGCCAGACATGGAACAAATCGCTACATTACTATCAAGTAGCTTGCAGACATTCTTTATGGAGTTATCTGTTCTATTTTGATCCCCCTCTATCTGGCCCTTAATTGAAATATGCCTTGATAAGCATGATATGCTTGAATTTTGTTAAAAGCAGGCTTTTTTTTTCCTTTCTTTTTCCGTAGAAGGCTGGTTCCCTGGCTTATTGTTGTAGTTACTGATTTAGCTAAACCCAACTTCTATCCCTGTAGATGGGATAGCTGTAAAGTACCGTCTATGTAGATGTTGCTTTCTAGAGATGAGCATAACCAATGGGGTCTGCATGTTTTCAACCTAACCTGTTCATTATGAATCCGCTGCGTAGAAAACATTCTTCTCAATTTTTTTTTTTTTTTTTTTTTTTGAGATCTCACTTTTTTACATCCTCCAAACTGCTGAGATACTCAACTTACTGATGAACCATCTCTTCAAGCAACTCAACATCTCAGCAAGCTACTTTGCCCACATCTCTTCTCTTCATTAATATCCTTCACCTTCAACTGTGTGTGATAAGGTCTAACCCAATATCTGTTGGACTGATCAGTTTGGAAAAGTTGTCTTAGTTGCTCTATGTACCCCCGTGATTGCTCCGTTTCAGTTGTTATTTCATGTATAGCATCTAATTATTAAGCACAGGAATTGATTTTCTTGGAATATTTTTAGTTATTTATAAATAAAATAATGGATTTTCTTTTAGGAAAAGCTCAAACCTCCTTTATAATTGTTTTTGGATTCTTTGATGGAAATTAAATACATAATCTAATATAGACTATTCAAGTCTCTCACCACTAAATCAAATCTAGTGACTTTTATTCTTTTGTCATTTACCCTCTATATTTTATTTTTATTACTTTTTTTTCATCTGAATTTGACTTTTAAAAAATGAGTTAATTTACTCATGTTGCTTCCGTGAACAGTAAAAAAATCACAGAAAGGTAAGTAATTAAAAAAAACACAAGCGGGTGAGTGATAAAAAAATAGAGTTTTATATATGTCATGTTATAGGTAACTTATAGTGTTATGTTATTCTAATACATTTCATGTGAGTTCCACTCAAAAAGAAAGAAGAAAAAAGAAAACAAAGTGAGATCATCACTTTTTGTGAGAGTAACATGACATTACAAATTTTTTATAACATGATATATATAAAACCCAAAAATAAATCATGATAGGTTCTTTTTTATTGTTTTAATTGCTGTAAAGGAAAAGTTCAAACCCTGCGAGGTTTACTCCTTTATCAATTATCCTCTTATGCTCTTTTTTTAATCTCTTATTTCCCCTTTGGTTTTTCAACTATTCATCGAGGCAAATAGGACAAAATAACTCAATTTTTTACTACATTAAAGACTGACAATTGGCGTCCCATTGAGCAAAATCTCTCTCTGTTGGTCTGATTCCTGAATCTGACAGAAATTGCAAAGTTAAGGACTTCGTTAAGCAGAGGGTGGCTGGAATTGGGGCCTGTTTGATCATATTCTCCCGCCAAAAATTGTAGATATTGTTGCAGGTTGCATCCCCCCTTGGTGGTAAGTATATCTTGTTGGTTGGTTTTATATTTGGTGGTAAGTATGACAGAGTTATTTGGTGGTAAGTAGAAAACAAATTTGGTGGCAACCCTTTGGAGGACAGAGACCATATCTTCCTGCACGAGATTCCAGAACCCTTTGGAGGACAGACAGAGACCATATCTTCCGGCATTGCAGATGGGTTAAGGAGCTCTGGTGCAACCTCACTGATACCCAGTCCTTACCCTATTTTTTCACCATGGATTTCGAGGATTGGCTTTCACGTAACATCTACCAGAAGAAGAAGCACAGTCCTCAGGAAGGTTTGGTTTCCTTAGTTTTGAATGATGCTGAGGGTGTTGGTTATCCTCGCTTGACTCTTAGTTAGAGTACCCTTGTGTTTCTTGTTTCTTTCCCTTTTCTCCAAAAAAGAAGAAGAAGAAGATGGATTTGAATAGAAAAAATACATGAGATGTAAATAATAAAAAACAAAGTACAAGGGTAAGTGATAAATTAATAAGGGATATCATATACTTACCACCAAAAAAAGTTTACCACATTTATAACCAACTTAATCACTGTTGATTTCCGTTAATCTAACGGTTATAATTTATTGAATTTATTTAAAATTAATAATTAATTAATAAATGTGACCAAATAATTTCTAATAAATTATGACCGTTAGATTGATGGAAATCAACGGTAATTAGGTTGGTTGTAAACGTGGTTAACTTGTTCGGTGATAAGTATATTCTTTCCCAATTAATAAATCATAAGATATTTTTAAATTTTATCTTTTTTTCAATCGTTATCCTATTTTGTTTTTCATAAGGGAAAAATGTTTCTGATTCTGCAGTTATTGCAGATAAATTATCTGTATTTATTCTCAAAACGACGTCGTTTTGGTATTGAAATCTTAAAAAATTATAAATATAAAGACTATTATAACCTTGAAATAAATTAAAATTACAAAAAATCATGATTTCCGTCCAAAACGACGTCATATTGGACTTACTGCAGATAACTTATCTGCAGTAACTACAGAAAAAGTTAACCCTTTTATAATGGTTGGTTTGTTTATGAATGATTTAAAAAAAAATTAAACTCATATCACGTGAAAGGATCTATTCCAATTAGAAAACTATTATTTTAATAAAGATATTTGATTGTGTTAAAAATATTTGCAAGATCCTTCTTACAAAGAAATGATACCATTTGATTAGAAAAAATTAAAACAGGAATAAAAAAGTTAAACATCAGAGCTGGAATTCAAATCCTAAATATGTTCTAAATCTTAATGCTTACTACGTGCAAGTGCTATTGAGTTACAAATCATTAGCTACTTAAAGGTGAAACTAAATCATTAGCTACTTGAAGGTGAAACTAAAAAAAAACTAAATTGTCCATAAATACATGTACCAAAAAAAAAAAATTGCCCAAAAAATGTGCAAGAATATTTATTCTTTCCCTTTGAAGATATTATGAAAATATATGCTAGTGGCATAAAAGAGTTATTAAAATGTATTATTTGTATATTAATATTTAAACATTAACATGTTTTTAATGATATATCAGATGTTGAAAGAAAATCATAAGAACAATTATAGTTCATTCGGTTTTATAGGAGTTTAATTTTGTTCCACTGATTTTAGTTTAATAATATTATCATCATAATTTTTGAATTGATGCGATTAAGTTCTTTTTTTTGGTTGGTAAACTTAAGTTCTTTTTTAAAATAGATGTTTGCTTGACTTTCTTGTGTTGGTATGGTATTAATTATGCCAAGCCATTTATATCGTCAAATATTATTTCGTATTAGTAAAAAGGCATTGCTATGTAATATATTAAGAAGTGTAGAGTATGGTTTGGTTGCCCTTACATAGTCGCACTCTTTTGCGATGGAGATTATTTAAAAAGAGAAATCGGAATTTTACAACAAAAAACTCTACGGCATTTTTAATCATGGAAACATTTGAACTGAATTGAGCAATACTTTTTCACTATTTCAGTTGATATCAACTGACGTTGATGAAAAGACAAGATTCACAGATTAAGAAACATGCTTAATTAATTATGTAAAGTATGTCGCATGCCACTAAAACCTAACCATAGGTGCCTAAAGATTCGTAATGAAATTCAATAAAAGCTTCTATTAAGAGGAAAAAATCCATTAACCTAGTTGCCATCAGAACCATAAAAGACTGTCCATAAATTACAAATTACCCTTATATTTCAGGCAAATTGTTTTTGAATTAGACAACAAATTGCAAATTCATGGAAAAGCTCTATTGCTACTTCGCAAGACAATAATGAAAGTGATGAACCCACAACAATGATAGAATGTCCCAAATAATCTGCCCGTTTGTCAAGTAGAATCTTGTGAAATCTTCCCTCTTTGCTCTCAATTATGTCTAAAAACGATTTGTAAACCTTATAATGATCATCCCTCATTTTGTACTGATTTCTCCTGACATATTATAAATTCTCCAGGCGTACATCTACTTCTTGTTAATAAATCGATAAGAGTATTGTTCCTATAGATAACTCTTCGATAGAGTTCATTAATATCCATACTCATTAGTTTATCCCATCTATTTGAAATTTTGAATAACCGGTCTCAATTCATAATAGTGTCATAACCTATTTCGAGCTGAGTATATAATTTTAAGCCTTTAAGAGTTGGTAACCAGCTGATTGATTATTTTGTCACCCTCTTATTAATTTACCATTTTATCTCTTTTCCAAACTATATATTATTCTATGCATTTTCCCAAATTATATATCAATATATTCTGTGAGCATATTGATATAGGGAAAAATATTTATCCTTTTAAAGGACATATAATTGTTTCATTTTAAATTAAGTAATAAAAAGACACAATCTAGTATTTTTTTTATTTAAAAATTAAATTCTTTTTAAAAAAATTCACTCATTTTCTCTTCTATGATTTTTATTGCTTGTGTCTTTCTTTTACTAAAAAAGATATAACTCTATGTCCTTTAAAAAGACAAACACTAAATCCATTGATATATAGTTTGAAAAGATTGACAGACTAATATATAGTTTGGGAAATGAAACGAAGTAATGAAAAATTTAAAAGGAAGACAAAATAGTCAATCAGTCGTTAGTAAACCACAAGGGTAAGATAAATTCTTTGTAAATACATGTTTTATATTTTATCATATCATCTCTTGAACACTAAAAAGTATATTTTTTAAAAAAATAAGTGTAATTTTTTCATAACCTTTATAATTTTACTTATGTTAAATAATAATTTGATTATCTATGACGAAGTATCTAACTTCATATGGCTAAGGTTAGAGTTTCGTCAATTAGTTTGTTGATTATGTTTCTGTATATATTTTCCTCTTAAAAGAAAGTTTCTTGCATGTGCTGCTGCTGTGAAGTTACAACATCCATTCCAAACAACTTTTTTTTTATACAACATTCCAAACAACTTAACCCGTCTGAAACAAAGAATCTTCAATGCCCAAAAGGGGTACAAAAAGAAGCTATAAAGTTTATAAACAATCAATTCAACCTAAAATTTTTGTTAATTGAAGTAGATGTAGGTACTATTATTTTATATTATATTTTTTATTACATCCCCTCGCGCCAAGTCTTACCGGATTAAATTGTGCACATTTTATAGTCCATCACACCAAAAGTCCGTTTATTTTTTTAGATTTGAAACATGTAAATTAAACTTTTTATTCGAATAATAGGACTGTGATGCTAGAGTAAATTGTCCATTGAACCCTTTTTTTATTAGCATTCCCTGTATTAGTTTATGTTATAATTTTCATGCCCTATATAACTCTTCTATTCCTACTTTTTAAACTCAATGCAGCTTAGAAAATAATGAATTTGTGAGTTGCTTGATGATGTAGATGCTAAATAACCAGCTCCATCCTGTCTAAATTATTTATTCCAAAACACTGTTTTCAGTCCTATGAATCAAATATGCACAGAAACTATGTAATTTACAAATTACAAGTTAAATGGAGGAAGTTGGCCCCCAAAATTCAAAGAAAATAATTGTATATATACAATATTTACAACTATATATATAAAAACCATTCAGAGAGACAGTGGCATTTCAGCAGCTGATGTCGAAGTATTTGGGATTTGAAGGGAAATGATATTCCACATGTAACTGCGACATAAAATAATCATTAGATGAGATAAGAAAGCAAAATGGGGAACCAAGAACAAAACTTCCATAATTGATGCTTTTATAACTATATTTGAAATCATATTTAAATAGAAATAAGTGCAATGTTCTTCTAGAAGATTAACATCATATAGCTCAAGACTATTAACTGAACATGCATTATGAGTGCCTCTTATACTCCTGATAGACAGGAACAAATAAAAGAAAAAAACTTACAAGTTTTAAGCAATTAGTTAACAAATTAAGGTTGGCAAAATCGATTTCTAAGGACATAAAATACACCATGAGCCATAGATTTCCCAAGTTATTAGTGCGTGAATGCATTAAAACCACTTCACATATACAATTACATACCTTGCCTTCATCAGAATCTGAATGACGTTGAGGAAACACTACCCTCATATCATCATACAAGTAGAAACTTCTTTCATGTTCATTGTGCATAATATTTATCCCTTCTGCAGAGAGAGGGTCAGATTTGCACTTATGAACAGACCTTGAACGTTTCTTAGGCAAGGGACACACAAAGCGAAGGTGAAGAGCATAAAGCAGAATGCCAGTATTAATAGCATTGGCATTGGCCTTTGAAGAACCATGTAGAAATTTGTCTTCATTAGCAAGGCTTGCGCTTGAACTTAAGTTTTCTTCCTTATCAGCCTTTGTAAATGCAAAACTATCAAAGTTGCCACATTTTGAGGTCAGAAGATCTTTATCTCTATGGATGGTATTTGACATCAATGATGACTTGGCATCAACTTTAATGTCAGGATCTGTTTGGTTTTCTTTTCCAGTCATAGACACCGATCTAGACGAGGTTAAGGTGGTCTTTTGCCGCAATAATGTCTGCTTTAAATGAATACAAGCAAAGCACGTTAAATATGGAACTGGTAAAACTTTTGGTCTAAGAAAAGAGTATAGGAAAATGGGGAAGAAATAACAATTGCATATTCTTCATATTTAATTAAAACGTAGAGTTTCAAATTAATTTAACAAAAGCTGGCTTCACTGCTACAGCCCAACAGGTTTTGCAGAATGACCAAGCAAGGCATGATAAAGCCAGGCAGGATTTAATTAACTGAACCAGGCAATTCACATAAGTCACGGGTTTGAATCCGAGAAACAGTCTCTTTGCAAATATGTAAAGGTAAGACTGCATATAAGGATTGCCCTCATCCTTACCCTGACTAGTCGAGATTTGAAAGGGAGTGGTTTTTATGCAATCCACAAAAGAACTTGTTCATCTCCATTCAACATATGAGGACAACGATTTATATAGTTAACAATAACAAGAACTTTGTGCAACCATATTCTATTATACATCAAAGCAATACTTAACAGCTGTTGGGACAGATATCACACTAGCATAGACCTTTAATACTGAGGTTGATTTATGACTCAGTACATAGGCCTCTAATTACACACTTTAAAACTTGGTTTATTATTGTATCATTTCCATCTCTGTTTCATTATAATTAGGTTCACAATTATTGAACACTTATATAAAAAGGTATTTTATAAGAAGTGATACATGAAGACAATTTTATAAATTGGTGTTGCAATTCAACTTTTCTTATTAGGAGAATGGAAGCGGCAATGATAGAACTCTAGACCACTTGGTCATAGAGGCATAGAGGCTATGACACCATGTCATGAACCAACATTCCAGCTCTTGACAAGTGAGTCGTTCTCTATATTATCTCTAACAAATATCAATGTAAAAAAAGCAAGATTATTATATGACAAGAAAATGGATGAGTGCATGGTGACAGAACTTTGAACATGATATATTCACAGAATCCTACCTTGGTACCAGCTGGCATGTCACTCAAATCATAATTACATAAGAAGGTGTGAATAGGTGTCCTCTCTGGATTGCTGAGAACCTGCAATTAGGAAAGTCCGTTTGTCACACACAAATTGGTACAACTATGAAGAATACTACATGGGAACACAGAATGTAATTGATAAGCTATCTATGAACATCTAGTTGTTTCAACACAGCACTGCTGCCATGAAATTCGTGTTAAGCATAGCCCATGAACCATTGATCTACCAGCATAACTTGTTACTTTAGTTTGGCTATTACTATTTTTAGCAGCGAGTTAAAATGACCAGATGGGTAACGAATAATTAACAACTAATCATGCATCCAGAACCAGATCAAGTTGGCAGCAGTAAAGTCAGTTTCATTCTGAAATTATTGATGAAACCTGGCACCAGAAATTTTGGAATTTATATGGTAATTGTCTCTTCATGCATATAGTTTGGAGCAGAGTTTTCAAATTTATAATGTATCATATGTGAATGTGATCACATTTCTCCAAGACTTGTAGTGACACTAGTGACAAACAAGGAACTAATGTTGCCAACATTGAAACTAATAATTTGACAGCACCCTTTCCTCTAAATATCACGTGTCAATTGGTCACTTCTTATAAAATCTATAGCAAGAATCTCATTTACCTCCAAAAATCTAAGTTGGCAGTTGTATCATGCTACCTTGTGTTGGTAACAGTATCAAAAAGATTAAATTGATGATAGAATATGAAAACATCAAGTTATGCATCAAGTCTGCAACACAATGCATAACCAATGTCTTGCTACATATAACATAAATGCATTTTGTAGATTAAAGAAGTAAAATGATATTCATGTTCTCAACAATTTTAAAGGTCTTGTAGTGAAGTACCAGTTGAATACGTCCTTTTATAGGTATACGAATACGGCTCTTTTCAGATCGTGATCCATCCATGCTAAGATTTCTCTGAAATTTGGCGATTCTAGACTTGCTTGATAATAACTTTCCTGAAAGATTAATTGATGAATAATAAAGTAAGTACTTGTCTCCATCCACGCTGGTTACTGAAAATGGAATTTTTTGTGATTGAGGTGAGAAATTGCCGCCAGTTACATTCAGCACAGCAAGAAAGCCTTCAATTTTCTGCAAATTGAAGGCAGTACAATTAGAAGAGTAAAATAACAGGAAGGTCACTCAAATGATGCCAACTTCACTAGGAAATTAATGCAGAAAGGAGAGGCCAATAAATGAGAATAATGCCAACCTGACTAACTTTCCCAGATAGTAGGCGACCAGATAACAAAGATTCCTCAAATGAACCAACCAAGGACCTTCTAATTGGTAGTCTACTCACAGTTCCACATAACTTGGCATGCTGAGGAGGAAAGCTAGCAGGATGAGTCCAATACTCTTTCATATCAATGATATTATCAGGAGTAAATAGGTCACATTTTTGCTGCATAGTGTTAGAACGGAGCTTTGATTTACTTGGCATATCCTGTGCAGATAAAATGCCTTGGCAAGTTCTATCAAGGGATTGTTCCGCATCATTAAAAGTTAGATTGTCCTCATCCAACATAATATCAATATCTCTGCATCCTCTCAATTTTTCATTTGTAGAAATTTTTTTACCAAGAGGAGACAAAGGGAAAGGAGGTGATGACACCTTTTTTTGAGGTATAGACAGTGCTGCTGTTATGGATCTTATTTTAGTTGTCTCTTCAGAATCATTAAGTGCTGGAGATGATTTGAAATGCTTATAAGACCATGGCTCCTCATGTTTACAATGTGAACGGCCATGACTAGATACAATTTGGGTTACACTAGAGTCATTACAGGATGAATTTGTACATTCCTGAAAACAAGATGAAGACCAGTCTATGGAGTGAATATTGTTGTAGTTTCCGATATGAACCTTCTTATACTCGTGTAAAGCAAGATCATTATAACTATCATCACCTCCCTTTGAACATCTTTGATAAATACCATCATCACCAATGTCCAAGGGATCACCTTTAAAATGATCTGCAAGCAACATCCCATTCAAAGGTGACAATAATCTCTTTCTGACTTGTGATTCAGATACTTCAGTTGCATCATTGGTGACATTAAACATAGATGACGAATGTCCATTTCCACCAAAACCATTGACAGGAGGATCTAATGATCTTACTTGGAAACCTACAGTCCTAGAAGTAGGTGTCTGCATAGTTTGCCCAGTATTAACAGACAACCTGCCAATTTGTTCAATGGGGCTAATCTTTAACTTCCTTATGTTGGATTTATCATCTTTACACATATTTGGAATATGTGATTCTTTTGAAAGCTCTAGAACAAATTTTCTTTCAGTGTTAGGCATATCAATTTGCATGCGATTACCTAGGTCTTCTCCATCCAACAAGTTCAACTCATAGTTGCTTAAGCTGGCAATCCTAGGTGCAGTTTGCACAAATGTGCCTAGTGATGCTGCCACCTCCTCAGCAATGCAACCTGAAGGGACCTGTGGTAACCCCATTTCTATTTTTGGGGCAGGGTTCTTCAAAATTTTCAAAAAGGAATCACGTTCTTTAACTCACAATCTTTCACCATAACCATCTTGTGAGGGGCATTCATGCATCAGCATTGGTACTTTCATGTTTCAATTGTACACTCAAAACCAAGTAGCCCAACACCAGTGCAGTTGTAAATAATTTGATTCCCTCCAATGAAAAGAAAGTAAATATCATTAATCAGACTTCACAGCATCATTAGGCCAGAGGCACCATCCTGCAAAAATAATAAAGAACTTTTTAATAAGTTCCTGCTGATATACAAAAGAAACGCATAACTATATTAATTATGTAGAAAATCTGAAGCCTTCAATAGTTGATCCTCACCTTATCACATTTCTTATACTTTTTACAAGTATTAAATTGCTAAAGTTGAACCATATATTAATCTCTAGATAAAACAAGAAGGAATATTAATTCAAAACACCCTTTAAGAAAGCCCCCAATGATTCCCCGGTATGCCTATAAACCCAACAAACCAATCCAGTAACAAGGGGAAAAATATTTAGTCCAAAAGCGTTATTTCCATAATCTAGATTAAAACAAATGTTAAACACGTCATTGTTGTTATTCCTTAAAATCCCACAACCAAAACATGGAATCCCCACATGCAGCACCCTCTTATGTTTCCCTAATCCATATTTAGACAAAAAATTTCAAGTACCAAACCAAAGGGTCCATGAATATGATGAAAAGAAGCACCAGAACCTGTGATTCAAAGGACAATCAGACAATCCATATGAATGCTCAAAATTCAATCTTGCTTCAGCAATTCAACAACAGAACCAATCAAAGGAACAAACTTTGCAAACCCCACAACAACATGAACTGAGAATTTTCTTCTTTCTTCTCCTTGGCGAGTGCTCTGCTGTTGTTGGAGCACCCTGGCATTTCCGTCTCTCACGCAAAAAGTGGATTGGGTTTTGGGCATTGATGGATGATGATAATGATTCGTAGCAAGCGTTTCTATAAGCAAACAATTTGTGGGGCATGGCTTAGCCAGAATTTTCTGGCTGGCTGTATTTGTACTTTGAAAACCACAACTTGCAAAAAGGAAACCACAAGTTGTGTTTATTATGTTCAAGTCAAGTTGCGGTTCTCTTTTTTTCCTTTTTGTGCATGACATGTGTCAATCCATGTCAACATGCCAGGACATTCTTATATTTATAGGACCATTTACCTTTCATACCAACCCACGACCCTCTACAAAAATAGAAACACAAAACAGTGATGTTTCTTATTATCAAATATCAACTACACCCGCTGGCGCTACGTGTCTGGGTTAGAAATCAGTGATAAAGAGATATAAAATAATTAATTTAGTCTCGCCCGATTATCTTAAAGTTTTAGATTGAAGTGATGTTTATCATTTTATGATGATCAGAAATTTACGAGTTTGATCATTGATGCCTTGCTAACAGTTGTGCAAGTAATGTGCGCAAGTATACGCGACAACAAGTAATATAGGGCTGTTATAAGTCCCAGATATCGTTCCCACAAGGATCGTTGGCGTTTTGAAATGACTAAAGGTTGTAATTGCTTAAAACTTAGTTGATATTTGAAAATAAAAGAAATAAAAATTGTAAGGTAAGAATAATCTAGAATGGATCTAAAATACTACTGTTCACTTTTCTTTTAAAATTTTTCTGAATTACTTTCCTAAGTTATAAAATAAGAATGAAGAATGGAGCAATTTAAATGAAAGATGTGACAAAAATTTTGAAAACGGAATAGAGATTGAAATATGAAATAACAAAGGAAATTGGAAAATCTGGATTGATAAAGAGATTTAAAAAGGTGGGCTGAGTTCTGGTTCTCCTTCCCCACAGTGCTTGAAAAATAATTTGATTAACAAAAAGCTCATTCTAAGATTCTCAGTTAACAGGGCTGTATTGTTAATTTTTAATCTCTTAAAAATTGTTTTATCCCAAGGTTGCCCACTTCCATATCTCTATGCCAAGTGGGATTAGGACTCTTGAGATTCAGGTCCAATATTACATGAGGACTCATTCATTTCTGAATTGAGATCCCTAAGATGATTTCTCATCTAAGTCCATGTGTCTAATGCAGAATCCAGAATTAATTGTTTCTCAACAACTAAATCCTAACCAAACATCTGTCATTTGGCCAAAATGCAGATAATTTTAAACATTAGAAACAGCATTAAACAACTGAGATATAAACATTAAAACCAGGAAATCAAATATCTGACAAGCACTGAGGTTTGGGTATCACCTAAACCCAACCTCTAAAAAGTTAGCCACTATCCATATGGGTGGAGCTTACACACAGAAACAGAGAACTACAAAAATCACAAAATAAAAATTCTAAAAACTAAAATTACAGCACTGGCCTAACAACCGGCAATCTCAGTGCTGTAAAGACATGCATCCCGTTTATCAAATGAACAAGAATCTCATTACAAAACAGAAATTTAAAGAAAATAAAAATTGTTCAGAAAACACAAAACTAAGAAAAATGATAAATCCGAAATCAGGAGTGGGAAGGACCGTCTTTTTTGACTCACCCTCTTTCCCTTTTTATAGGGTTCCTTTCCTTCTTTGCGCGATTTTTCTCTCCAGCTCAGCAGATATACACGCGCTCCTTGCGCGTTACACACCGGTGGTCCCCAACAGCTCCCTCTTGCTCCCTCACCCCGTACGTAAACTTGCGCCCACAAATCGCTCCAGTCTCCACTCTCAAAAAAGTATCCAGCTCATCCACTCAGCAAGGGGTTGTTGTTTTGACGTTTTCTGTATGAGGAAAGGGTGTCTAGGGTTTGGTTAATCTTTCAATGAACCGTGATTGAGGGTTTATCTTGACAAATAAGCCAAATACAAAGAACGGTTTGGCTTTGCAAATCGCTTTGTGGTCAGGAACTTTGGTCGGTTGTGTGCTAGGGTTTTCTAGCAACCCTTTCTCGTTTCTGACTCTGTCTCTTCCTTTCCTTTTGATTTCTTTTCATCTGGCTTCCTTTCTTCCTTTCCTTTTGGGCTTTTTAGGTCCAGCCCATCACTTCCCTGTACTTCTTTCTTTTTCTCATGCTGAATGTTAACACAATGGGCCTATAAAATAACAAGTTTAAGCCCATTAGAATTTAAGCCCAACATAAATTTTTGGGGTATTTTAATCACAAACATCATTCATTTCTCATCAATTACACTCTAAACCATATGTTCTAAGTCTCTTTTAAGAGACTTATCACACCCCCAAACTTAACTTGTTGCTTGTCCTCAAGTAACACAAGAAATTAGTTCCACAATTTAGTAAATTAACCATTCTTCTCAACCAGGAAACAAATTTCAGCACAATTCAGAAATATTCAAACCAATCAGCGCTTCAAATTTTTCATAAAGAACATGGAACAGAGGGATGTATTTAATTCAGTAATCAGTCAATCACAAACCAGGCAGCTTAGTGATCCTTTATTCCATAAAATTACTCAGCAGGCAGTGTGCAAAATTCAAATGCATGAATGTCTCAATGACTGTAAAATAATGACAAAGGAGATCTTGAATTTTTTTTATTTCTTAACACAGCATGCAGAATTTTTAACAATGCAACAGAGATGGCAACTTTTCAATTCCTCACTTAATAAAACAAATATCCACTCCATGCTCAAGGATTCTGTTTCTCTCAATCCAACACTGGAAAAAGATGTAACATAGGCTTGTTAAGATGCTCTTGTCTCTAAAGTGATGCACAGACCTAAGCTCAATCAAAGGGACTTGAATAGGTTGTAACTTGGCTAAGGTGAAGGTGGAAAATTTGTGGGGGATTGGCTAATTTAGCTATGATGGAAATGAAACACAATTATGAAGCATAATCAACTAATTCAGTGGCTGCTACTTTGACTGCTATTTTTCTCTTTTTGAAAATCTCTTCTTCTTTTTTTTTTTTTTTTTTTTTTATGAAATCAAACTTTTCATTTTATTAGCAGTCTCTTACTTTCTATTCCTTTTTTTTTTTTTACCAACAAAATAAAAATAACAAAAAAAATATTGCTTCTTTTTCTGTTTCCATCATAACTAAAAGGTGTGGTAAATTGTGGGATAAGACAAAATGTGGGTATGTGAAAAGAAAATGTCAAAGGCTCAAAAGGGGTTTTCAATGGATGATGATCTATGGATGGCTTTTGGGTTTGAAAATGGTTAAACAAAACAACAAATTGCCCTCATCATTTTAAAATTAAGTAAGTGCAACAATTCATCAACTGAGCATCAAAGCAAGTTCTGTCTCACTAACCCAGTGGAGACCTCTCATAAAAAATGTTGACTGTGTAGGCTCAATGACTCACAGTGTTGGGTCTAGTCACCATCTCGCATGCTTATTGTTAAAATTCACAAGATGCATTAATCAACTAAATTTCTCAACCTCTCACTGCCTTTTACCCATCAATCATTTAAAACACTCATTTCACTCTTCATCCACAAAACTACCCTGAGTTCTTTTCCTTTATTCAAATTCTCAGCTGCTTAGTTGTGATACTGACCACTCATTGCTAAACATCACACTCCTCAAATCCATTCTCATATCCAAAATTCCCTTTCACCAAAACAGCACAAAATCTCTTCCTAACTCAAAACAACCACACCAACAGAAAACTTCATACAACTCTAAAAACAACAAATCCAATCAAAGCAGCAACTGAAACATAAGAAATTAATTCGAACTAAAAAAAATTCTAAAGAGCAATCATGGTTTATGGTGCACCAACAGAATACTCTCCCCCAAACTTAATTTCAACAGTGTCCTCACTGTTGTGCCTCAAACAAGTTACACAAATGAAAATTTTACAAATAGGATCAGTGTAACCTGAGGCCAGAAGAAGTTCTGGCCTATTTCTCCTGATAATCTGAGTCCCCTGACTCAGATTTATCCACATCTTCAGATTCTGATTCAGAAGACTGCATTTCTTCTTCTTCATTGTCACTCACTTCCTCCATGGCAGCTTTTGTTCTTGGCCTTCCCCTCTTCCTTGAGCCAAATGGATGGCCATGTTCCTTTGTAGGTAGAGGAGTTGTCTCTTGCCTTGTAGGTTGGGGAGAAGGAGGATTGCCAGCAGCTTTTGCCATGGCTTCTTTTACCTGTGGATCAACAAATACTGAAGAAGGTGGCCATGTTAAATCATCAGGAAGTGAAGGTAAACCAGGAAAATTTGCAAAGGTATTTTTCAAAAAATCATTCAAGACTCTGTCCCTCCCTACAATGTAATCATGGAATCTGGCTCTATTATACATAAAAGTGTAAAATTGATCATATGTTTTCTCAAACAGCAAGTCCATTTTTTTGTTATGATCTTGCATTTGCATGAGCACTTTATGTATGTGAACCAGATTATTCTGTAACCCGCCTGGGAAAGGCTGGTCTTCAGTGGGAGGGACCATAGTCTCCAAGCGATTTGCAATATTTTCAGCCTCCTGTTGCTGAGAACTAGCAACATCAGGGACAAATTTCCCTTTCTTTTCTGGGGGAGAAGACTGAGTCTTCTCCTCTTCAACTACCCCCTTCAACTTTTCTTTTCCTTCTATTTCTAACTTTTCTTTCTCAACAGAGGGTGCAGCAATGCCCTTTTTCAATTTAATAATGATTCGCAGAGTTATAGCCTCACTAACTTTAAAGAACACATCAGCTTGGTTTGCTGTGACACCTTTTTTCTTGCATAATTGTGATATAAAGCTAGGGAACCGTAGCTTGCCTTTCCTACCCCCAGCACAAGCTCCAATTCCTCTAAAAACTAATTTGGCAGCATCTACTGGTTTCCCAACCAATAAACACCACAACAACACAGCTCTATCCTTAGTCACTATATTACATGAGTGGTAGGGAGCAATCTAGCTCTAATGAAGTGGTACCACGTTTGAGCTTTTTCATTTAGAAAGTGTTTTTGCAGAGTATAATTCTTTTCTTTTATCTCCCATTCAGC